GGCTCATGAGACTTTGCCCCATTGTGCAGATGTATGGAATGGAGGTATGGGGCTCTGACTCCGCAACATGATAACGCACGTTGTGTGCGCCTAAAAGCAGGCTGCCCGTCGTCTCGTCGTGTCCTGTGTAGTCGTGTTGTGTCGTGTCGTCTGCCCTGCCACTTTTCAATGCTTCAATGAGATAAATACTCGGGCAAGGCTGCAACAGATAATCACCTGCTTACACGCACATGCAGGGACACTCTTACACACACTCCCACACACACACACACAGACAAATAAACAGCCACAAGCAGCCACAAACATGGATATGTACATGTATCATTTATCATACTATATACTATAAAATTCAACAAAAGGTAGGTTAGGCACATCCTGCAGAGGGAGGGGTGCAAAGAGAGAGAGAGAGACCCAGAGAGAGTTGTATAGAGTGCGCCTGCTCTGCCGCGCCCACCACCGACTAAGCTTTGTGCTCCACTCCCCACATACTACTCGTACTATGCTACCCCTCTGGAGTCCTTCTTTCCTCTCCCCACCATCCCCTGGCTATTCATAATTTTTCGCCAGCCAACTCTGAGGCGTGTCAGGAGCAGCAGTTGGTGGGCGGGACGGGTCGGGGGTTACGGAGGATGCGTTTAGACCAGGCCAAAGAAAGGCAACGGAAATTGAGGCACATTAGAAGCAGCAGCTTGACACCAGAGCAACAACAGCAGCAACGACAAATGTCAATTGGCAGTAGTTTGCATATCTCCTCCCCACCCCTTCCCACCCACACACAGCGAGACCCCGCACATAATTGGGTCAAAGGATATTGACCCTAAGCAGCTATAAAGCTATTGCCAGACACCAGACAATGTGAATGCATATATAGAAAACGTATCTGCCAGATACTCGTACTCTCCGGGTGTAATCCAATGCGAAAACGTTGACAGTTTGTCTGGTAAATCATTTCCGGTGGTGTCTGTCCGAATTGTCTGTTCATTCATTTGTGAAACTCGGGGAACACAGACACACAACACACAGACAGACACACTTACATACACATTTGTTATTGGCATTTTCGGTTAGTGCACTTAAAAGGCGTGTACTCTCGTACTACCATATACACACACGCAAACACACACTCACAGCTGGAAATACACACACACACACGCACTCTGAGATACAATCACAGCCACTTGGCAGATACATTTTCAGGCTTGCAAGACAAACAATTTTCGCTTTTCGTTGATTTCTTTTGCATCTACCTTTTTCGCTTAGTTTATTTGGGAAGTATTATTATTTCTATTTGTCTTAATACGGTACGAGCATATACGCGAGTGTGTGTGAGTTTTGGAGACTTTCGTTTCGTGGGGGCGGACCGTTGAGTGCTGGGGCTGGGACTGACTTTTCACGTCTTGTTTAATTTAATAAATTTTGTCATTTGATTTCGTTTCGTTTCGTTTCACTGGGAATTCAATTATATTCATTTGCTTGGTTTCATGCATGCTGCAGCATGCCCCGTCCTCGTCGTCGTCCGCTTCCAGCAAACATCTCTAGCACATTTTCCCATTTGACGAGAATGGTTGGGTCCGGTCCGTACGCCTCTCAATTGTCGATTCCCCGATTCCGATTCAGATTCAGATTCCGCCCTACGATACCAATTTCCGACTCCGTTCCGACTGCACAACTCTAGTCTGCGACAGCGACTGGGTCTCGCTCTGGGTCTGGGTCTGGCGTTAGTTCCGTAATAATTTCGCTCTCCGTGGGCACTCCGCTCCGTAGTGCTCTGCTCTGCTCTGCTCTTCTCTGCCCTTCTCTGCCCCTGCCACTGCCACCATGCGTCGTGCACTTTGGCTCTTGTGTGCAATGTATATCCGTCCCATCCGCTCGGGAGACGACACCAATGAAAGTTTTTCTTTTTATAACAATGTTTCTCTGTATTTTTCTCTGTTTTGTTCATGGGAATACAATACATTTTGGTTATGGTTTGCCTTTTGCACCGCTCCGCGCTTTCACTCGATTGTTTTGCCTTCTAGATGCGGGCGAAAGAGCGGGGAAAGTATACGGAGAGAGTGCTCGGAGTGAGTCGGAGAGCCAGAGAGAAATTTAGAGACAGAGAGAGAGGGAGAGCGCTCTGAGAATAAATACAGTTTTGTTTGTGTTTATTTAGACGATAATACGCTTTTGTTTACGTATTTTGATGTGCAAAACTGACAGACGCACAGCCAAAGAGAGCGAGGTAGATGGAGAAAGCACAGCACAGAGCAGAGATGCAGAGTGTAAGAATGTTAAAAATAGTTGCAGCTTTTCTTCACATTGCTGTAATCACACTGCTGGAGGAATGCAGTGCAGTGCAGCGGCAAAGGGAACAGAACCAACGCCTTGACTTGCCCCGATGTTGCCATGCATAAAAATAAATGTTCTATCTCTGGAATAAATTGTATTGGATTACCACAACGATCGATCGATCTGTTCGTGCAGTTGATAAATGATCCGACAAAGAATTTCCGATGGTATGCACAGTGTGTGGGTGTGAGAGGTGTTGAGTAAGTGCCGATCTGTTGTATATCTCTGGCAGATCTGGCACTTCGGGGAGTTGTTAGTTTATTATTGAAACTGTTAGATATATGTATGTATGTATGTATGCAGGGGAACACCCATGGCTAATGTTCAGTGAGAGTAAGGGAAATATCCGCCTAAGAAAATTGGTTGAGGGACTCTTAAAAGTGATATTCTTATGGTACAAGGAATAATTAGGAATAATATTTAAGGAATAATTGGCTGTTCGACATAAAAAACTGATTGAGCAACTTATGGAACTATAGAAATTTCTAAGTAAACTTAGCGAATTGTTGGAAAAACAAAGTACAAATTCATCTTTGATCGTATTTATTTAGTTCTCTTTTTATATTTTACTATTATGAAAAATTATGGAATTTATGCTTACATCATACATTAAAGGAGAACTTTCACTGTAGATTGTTTAAAGAGCACTTGCCAAAACGGAAATGTTCAAAGTTCCTCCAGCAACAATTTCTATGTCGTACAAGTAGCACAAAGATACACGCACTCACATATAGCCCGACCAACTGGCCAAATCTAAGATCATAAAATGTTATACGAGCGTACCCTATACAAGCAACAACAGTAACAACAGTAAATACTCTGGTTGTAAACAAAATACGAGTATGAGTAACTTTTCTTCTCTTTTCCCTTTCCTCTGCACTTGTTGTTGTTCTTTGCTTTATTTGTTGGCCCACTGAGCTTTTGCCTGCTTATCTTTCTCTCTCTCTCTGATTTTGTCACTCAACAGTATTTACTTTTCTCTGCTATGCTTTCGCTCTCTCTATCTGTCTCTCTTTGAATGACACATGCGCCGCCCAGAAACTTTCTTATCAGTGTGTTTTTGCTGTGGGCCAAGCAAAGCTTTGCTTTTGTTTGGTGGGAAGCTTTGCTTTCCGATCAGCTGTTTGATAAGAGCCGCCGCCATTTAACCCTTGGTTGGCCCTGTGCCATGAGCTTTGGCCGTCGTACCCATGCAGATGTTGTTGTGCAATGACATGGACATGGACATGAATTATGGTTCGCATGACTGGCAACGTGACTCACTTGGTCAGCCTCAGTCTCAGCCTCAGTCTCAGTCTCAGCCACAGTTGCAGTTCCAGCTTTGGCAACGTTTTGTGGGCGGACACATGCAGCGAGGCGCGCTGTTGCTGTGTTGTGGCATGCCACATCTACACATCTACAAACACACACACACACACGAACAAACAAACAAGCCCGCAAACAAATAAAATAGACAGTCGGCCAACACCTACGACTACGTCGGGGCGACCCACCGCATGACTTTTCATACTCAATTGCCGCAAATGCCACAAATATGTGTAATTGACTTGAAAATGCGCCAAGCAAATCAATCCGCACACAAGTCCACCCGCTGTCCACTCTGTCCATCCAGTGTCCGCTCTGTCCGTCCGACCTCAAGTGCAGCGCGTGAACTCATTCTCATTCGTCCGTCCGTCCAGCAGAGTGTGCGGCACGCTCCGTTCGCTCTCTGGCTGGCTGGCTGGGCTCGTTCGCTTGCTGTGTGATTGATGAATGTTGCATACATATTTTGGACGCCGTTGGCTGCCACCATTGTGTGGCATTAATGAGACACTGGCCATTTGTTTTGCCATTTTTTGTTTTGTTTTGTTTCCATTCCAGCTGTTTGCTGAAACCGAACCGAACCGACCTCTGGGTGCCTTACAAACTGTGAATTGTTTGAATGCAGCGCCCCCCACCACCCCTCTCAATGCAGATTTTCAATTGTGGAAATCGTAAAATTCTATGGTTATTATCGCACATCGATAAAGTGTGGATAGCAGTACAGCAATTAGGGGCGCATTATGTCGGCTCCAAAAATATTTGGCTGGATCTTGAGATTTAGTATCTCTCCGGCAAAGGAGAAGGAATAGATACAGATACGAGTTCGAGTCGAGTACGAGGGCAAGTACAAGCGCTAGCGGAACTGTTTATTACCATAAATAATTGTCAACGCCAGCCAAAGAAAACGTCAACTGATATACAGTCATGGCCTGGCCCGATCTCGGTTCAGTTTTGCTTTGGTTTTGGCTAGGTATTCATTTCAGTTTGCAGCACACTTGAAAGGCTCCAAGCCGACGCCGCACCCTGACGTCATTTACTGGTGGGTGCAGCAAGCAGCAGCAGCAGCGCCGGCAGCAGCGGCGGCAGCGTCAGTCGCAGTCGCAGTCGCAACATCAGCCTCCAACAACTTACGAGTATATGGCTCTCGGTTGTGGCTGTGGCCCTGCATTGCTCATAATAAAGTCATTAGATTGTACCAGTATCGTACTCGTACTCGTACAATTTTGAGGCGTTAATAGTTTAGTTCCGCTGCATTGACTGCCACAAAGCACTTCCGCATAGAACAAATTGGATATGAATTGGGGATTAGCCATGCACCACCCATAAAGCGATTCGTTTCGGGAGGGATATCCAAGTGGAAAAAAGCACACATTAAATGAGACAACTCCGATTCAACATTTTACTTCAATCAGAGGAGAACACTCTCGAGTATAGTTAATAGTTTTTTAGTTTATTCCGGCCATTCCGTTGTGGCTCCTAGACTCGGGTATGGGTCTTTGTCTCTGGCGACTTTGATTTCGTTCTCTCTGTTTATAGAGCATAATGTCTTACACTCTTCCGCAGAGGTGAAGCGATTGGTATTGCCGCCGCAGCCGCTGTAAAAATACTCTACACAGACATTGTTTTCATAATCGTAGCCGTAGACCTTTATGTTTTCCTTGCACCGGCCATAAACGGGTCGGAACAGGCAACTCTCTGTGGGCGAAAACAAATCCAGTGATGCAATTGGATAGTACTTGAAACCTCACCTTGCAGAATGGTAAAGTCTACAAATAATTTGGCGTATTTGTCAGCCGTCTCATGCTCTGGACATGCACTGAGAAGAGCCAACAGAATTGCGTACATGAGCATAGTTCAAGCTTTAATCTACTACTGATATACATCCATTGGCTAGAAGTCTGAAGTGTGTATTAAATACCTACAGCTGCAGGTGATTGATATGCCATGTGCGGATTCCTTAAGCGTAACCTGAGAAGTGCAATATTGATATTTCCAGACCATTTATTCAGTGGAAATGTACTGCTTTCCACTGCGCTTCCTTTGATGGCACACTAATTTCGTTCTCACAGAACGTCAGGCACCGAAATGATGACAGGGCCCTGAACCGATTGAAGTGCAGCCTCAAATTGAAAGATTGAGTGCGCCCAGCCAGTCAGGCAGCCAGGCAGCCAGGCAGCTAGGCAGCGAGGCAGTCCGTCATCCAGGCTGTCCATCAGTGCAGGGGCACACAGGCTGTGTCAGTCACTTGTTGCAGACAAAATGTTGCTAACGATGCTGCTGCCTGCTGCCGCTGGTCTGGCTGTAGGTCTTGGCCCGGCTTTGCTCTGCTCTCTGTGGCTATCTCGTGTCATTGTCGCACGACTCACGACGGTGATAAATAATCATCAGTCAGTCAAGTCAGTCAAGTGCCTGCTGCCCATGCTCTATGCGCTTCTAATTAAGCTCTGTGGAAATTGCACGTACTTGTAATTGCATAAAGGGTAACGGCACTTGCTGCTCTCTGTCTGGCAGTTCCTGCCCCTGGCCTGCCCCTCTCCCCGAGGCAAGAGTCCGAGGCCAAACCCATGCCCATCGATTTGGGGTCCGACTTCTTGTTATTATCGCCATCGCTGCTGTGGCTGTTTTTGGGTAGCTTGCCCCTGAGCCTCCAACTGAGCCCCATGGACTGATAGCACAAGTTGGCAATGACATTTCAATGCATTTATGATGGTTATCTTGGCCAGCAAAAGCAGAAGCCATGGCTGCTGCTGCCATGCCAATTGTCAGAGGGAAAGAGAGAGAGAGAGAGCGAGAGAGAGAGAGAGAAGGTTAAGCTGGAGCTCTCTTTCCCTGCACTGATTTAGATAAATTGCGCACGTTTTTTAAGGCAGGGCCACAGCCTCACCAGCCCCACCAGCCCCACCAGCCTTTCCTCCTCCTTCTTGTCATCCTGTTGTTGTTATCAAAACAACTTCATCAACGACTCATTGATCTTTTGGTCAGGTCGGGGTTTATTTCTTATATTTTGCGCTGGCCAGCGCTTAATTGGCCCAGTGATGGCCGTTTGATAGGCCCCATAAGCAGTTTTTAATTAGGACTGGACTGGCTAGCCACCGAACAAAGGATGCCGACCAGCTGCAGGGCTACCCACTCATAACTCAAGCAGCTCCATGCCGAGAGGGTACATACTGTCTAAGGGGGGGGTGCAGGGGGCCTATTTGATTTATTTGGGGCATGGCCGAATTAGCATACAATTAGAGCAAATGCGCAATGCGCAATGCGATCCGAGCCTTTGGTTTATGCAATTTATGAAATATTTATGCCCATGCTCATAGATAGACGTATATATACATATGTATGTGTGTATCCCCGGCATTATGCAAATTGTTTGCGTTACAATGTAAATCTGAATGCGCGCACGCGAGCATCCGTATTGATATTAGCCATAAACCAGCATTCGATGGCCACATAAATATATAGTTTTTCTTTTTGGCTTTTTTTCCTACGATTTTTCTTTTTGTTGTTTTTGCTTTGCTTTTTTTTGTTTTGTTTTGTTTTTTTTTTTTTGGAAAGTTTACTGCTACACAGCGGGCATTTTGGTGACCGTTAAATGCCATTAGCCAGACGATGGCCGAGCGGCATTGGCAGTGGCATTGTTGTTGGCCGCAAGCCGCAGAAGTAGCCGCCACAGCAGCAGAGGAAAATGAAGCAGGTGCGCAATTGTCAATTTTCCTGCTGCTTGCCAGGGATGGGGAGCAGGCGATGGAGATGGAAAATAGGCGCAACAAAGAAAACAATCAATGGGTAGGAAAAACTCTGCGGATGGCCGGCCACAACGAAGATTTAATACGCTTAATGATTCAGACGCAAGAAAGAATTACGCGAAATTAATCTGAAGAGCATACGAGTACAGATTGGAAAACTCTTAGCACTCTTCTATTTTCTTCATATTTATCTAAATAATTTCCCAGTAACATAATATTGGGGAAACGAAAATGGGACCCTGTCTTAATTACGCTTACGAAATCGGGCAGTTTCCCTAGTTTATAATAAACCCCCAATTTAATACTAATTAAATTTGAATATAATTTACACCAGTCAGTTGAAGAAACTTTTCTTTCATTTAAAACACATATCTCTTCATTTCTTTTCCCTCTGTGAGAATAATCTTGCTGAAGAAATGTTCAACAAGAAATCTTCAACCATATTTTCGTCTACCAATAGCCAAACAATTTATCAGGATTTTGTTTGGCTTAGCCAAATGTTTCGATACTCCTTTCAAAGCTTAGGGTATTTCTGCGGCTCGAGTTGTCGCTTTTTTTATATATTTGCTGGCCAGTTTTTCTTTTATCAGTTGCATATCGGCTTGACATAGACATAGTAAGTAGCTTTTGTTGCTGTTTTTCCTGCTGCTGCTGCTGCTTCTGCTGCGACTGCTGCTGGATGTTTCCCTGGATGATGCTGCTGCTGCTGCTGGTGCGGCAGCCGGCTGTGATTATTATGATTGTCCAGTGAAGCATGGAGGATGGCTGTGTCTGTGGCAATGTCGATGGGGATGCCGGCTTTGGGGTATTGTCATGATTTATGGTCTTTTCCTAGAGAGGAAGGAGTGGCAGAGAGAGGAGCAAGAGCAAGAGCAAAGAGATTGGCGCTTGTTCTACGATCTGTAGTTCAGAGATATCTCTATATGTGGCTCATACATATGTACATATATGTATGCTCCAATGTTTCTGTTCCCCTTTTCGTTGTCGCAGATGTGCTGCTGGCCAATAATAATAAAAATAATAATAATTTGCTTGATTTATGATTGGAATTTGTGACATCAATTTGGCATGAGCCGTGCAGAGATATGCAGATTTTTTGAAGGTAATAAAGTAAACTATTGGATACTTATAGCTGGTAGCCAGCTCTTACCTTTCTCTGAGATTTTACTCATACCTACTGAAGCTATCATTGCTATCTATCTACCCCATCCCTAGCCAATCTTCTTAATTATGGACAAATTCTTTCATTGTAAGCTGGACGAAAAAACGCTAAACTTTGCGCTTATTGTCTCTGTCAGCTTTCTATGTCAACATGACACTAGCCTGCTGCGGAGCTGTTGATTTCAGGGAGAGCCGAGAGCAAAAACACATAATAATACTCGTATGCCATAAAAATATCAAATATAATTGCGTGTGTCGTGGCCACTTGAGAAGCTGTCGGGGGGCCGAACGAACCGCGCTCTCGGACAATGCTCGTTATCGCAGTGTCACCGATAAATTCCAATACCCAGAGACCGTAATTTATGTTGACGCAGGCTTATGACGCAAATCGCGAAATGCTAACATTTGATGGGAGGGGATCTGGGCAGACAAATCTATTCGGGGTCTGGCCTGGGTCTGGGCCTGGGCGACTGGAGCAGGTCCCTCTCTGAGGTTGGGCCCACTAATTTCCGCTGGATGCTAATTAAAAATGCCTTTGGCAACATGACTCCAAGCAATTTGCACTGCCATCTGGAACGGGCGGGGAAGAGCGAGAGCGAGAGACAAGTGCCGAGGCCAGTTCTAGGAAGGCACATGCTCTGGAGCAGATCGAACCAGACTAGACCCCGAAGCACACAGACCATTTCGTTATGGTTTAAATGAGCAATTTAACAAGCAGACAGCACTGGCTGGCCCTGCCACATAATGCGGCAAAAGGCTGCTGTTGCTACCATGGAGACTGCTCCATGTGGAGTAAGAGATCAAAGATAGAAATCTCGGCAAGAAGCGCGGCAGACAGTGGCAAGCAGGCAAAACACCGACGAGCACCGCTGGCGGCTCCATCGGTTAGGGTTATTGCTTGTTGTTGTCGTCGACTTAATAGCGGCGCTTGCTGCTGCTGTTGCCTCTGCTGCTGCTGTTGCTGTTGCTGTTGCAGTTGCAGTTGCAGCTGTAGCAACTATTGCTGCCACTGCCACTGCTGCACTTGAAATTGAATCTGAGGGAAAATCGTGCACATTCTGAGGCGACACCGAGATGCGGAAACGGCAGCACAACAAGCACAGAAGCCGTTAGTTAAACTGCTGCTCCAGCTACAGCTACGGCTCCTGCCGCCAACGGCGTCCAGCGGCCAGCATCCGAGTTGCAGCTGCATGAATCCCCCAGTCCCAGTTCCTGTCCCCCACCCCCATCCCACCCAGTCTCCCTTCGAAACCCTGCCGCCTGTCATAAAACCTGGCCGGGATATTTTGAGGCATATTAATTATTTCTTCTTTTTTTTTTCGGCCTTTTGTTGTCGCTGCTGTTGTCGTAGTCGTCGATGTTGCTGCTGTTGCTGTTGTTCCTCCAGTTGTTGGTGGTGTTGCCTCGTGAGGATGTGCTTGGGCAGGGCCTTGCAGCTGCCCGCCAGCGATTTTTTGACAGAGATTTTTTCGCTCGGCCACGGCCCGGATCGGGATCGTGGCCGGCCGCCATAGAGCAAAAAAAAAAAAGCAGCAAAAGCACCAGCAATGAAATTTTTTCGTACATGTTATTGTCCATGTCCCCAGGTTCAGGTCCGCCGTTTGCTGTTGTAGTACCCGGCATTCGTAGATCACCAAGAGGTATATTAAATGTCACAGAAGACAACAGATCCATGGATCGTGAAGATATTGAGTGTTGCAGCGTGCCATTGTAAAGCTGTATCGAAATATGCTCTGAAATCGCAAACAAATATTCGAAATCTATAATAGATAGCGCCCAATTAGCGGGTATCCCATAGTCGAAATGTCCGCTTTATTGTTCTTACTTGTTATATTTGTGGCTCTGGCAAAAGGCACAGCCAAAGCCACCGCCACCCATGGCGGGTTCAATCGGGTTTCGTTACAGTTTTACTATAAGCTCTACATTGTCGATCTGGTGCGGAGTGGGGTACGGGTATGGGGTATGGGTACGGGTACGGGT